ATTCTCCTACATATTATTGGGATTGGCCCTTTAACATATTTCGAGGAATAGACACATAGGGGATTAACTTAATTTACTTGAAATTTGGACTTTTAAGCCCTCCAGATAATATACTTGGTGTTCTGTTTCACTGTGTAATATTTTATGTCAGGACAGGTTTGATATGTATAGGAGAGATTCACGTAACTGTTATTTAAATTTGAATTATATTATATTTCACTAAAGTAAATATATCTAGTTAAACAGGCTTGCAATTTCCGAGAAATGTCCCTCTTGTGTAAAAGTTCGTGTCCGGGTATCTTGAACGAAACTATTATTTATTTAAACTAAATTATATTATATTTCACTATTGTTAATTCTTTTATATATTGTATTGTCCTTCTTGATCAACGAATCCGTATTTTATTATTTTATCAAAACTGTATCCATTAGTGGTTATATATCATAACAAGATTATATATTGAAATATTGTTTTAACTTATGTTATATAATTTAATTTTATTTTATTTAAATTTCAACATTCAGAAACAAACATAATACGAATCAATATGCCTATATACAGGCACAGATTAAGATTAAAACAAACAAAAAACTAGTCGGGGGGCAGGGGGGACCCTATCGAAATTCAAACGCCATACAGTGTTCTATGAAGAAAAAATTTCCCGGACAGCTGCCCACAGGCCTACTCTTATATTTAATTCAAACTGTCAGGGTTCTTAAACGTGCGCGCAAATGTGTCCACTAGGCAAAACCTAGTAACTCACTTTTTTTTTTTTTTTTTTATCAAAATTGAGTTAGGACCAAATTTGTAGTTACTAATGTGTGTGCTTCCTGTTGTTGTACTAGATATTCCAATCTTTTCATTTTGTAAGCAGTTACACCCATGGCACAACCTAGCAACTTCCTTCATTTCCCTAGTATGCCATAGTAAAACCTAGTAACTCAATTGTCCAATCAGATTGCTTGAAACAAAGATGGCAGCCCCCGTTGTTTCAATTTATTATTAGAATATGTTTAGTTTTCTTTGAATATACATAAATTACATTATGTTTTCGACAAATCGGGGGAGGAAGTTAGTACAACTGGCCTTGGAAAATGCAAAATAAGTATTTTTTAAGACCCTATTTATTTATAGTGAGAATCAATAGACTGCTTGGGTCCTGGCTTAGGCCTAGAAAAGTAGAACGTGGTCTATGCATGGCTGATAAATAATTGAATGCAGTACCCAATACATGACAATGTGCATGCAGAAGGTGACAGGTCTGTGCTATGACACATAACCAGCCGGTTTATGTATGGTGTAGGCCCTGCATGTTTGTTTGTTATGGGAAAGGCCTCAATATAGGCCTAAAGCCTTTTGTTTATCTACTAAGTTATCTTGGTTGGTGTATAAACTGCCTATCTTCTCTAGCGTATATTCAGTCTTGGTACTATATAAAGAGAATACCCTTTGACATATAATAATGTTTTTGATCCCCACCTTTCTTTTCACCCGCCAGTCTGTCCGATCAAATGTACGGTGGAAAGTTTGGGACACAATAACTCTTTATTCACAACACGTCTCCGCCATTTTGAATTTTGACATCACAGTGACGTCACAGTTCCGCCATTTTGTATTCTGACGTCACGGTGACGTCGTACATTACTTTTTACATCATTTCTGGAATCCTTGGTATCACTTTCCTATATGTTGATAATACATTTCTAGGCTGTAAAATAGATATTTTTGAAGTTATAAATGGTTTTCAGTTTCATTATATTGACCCAGGGGGTCAAAATTTCAAAATGCTGTAAAAAAATTTGCTCAACTCCGGTCGGCGGGGAAAATTTTTCTGGAACACTAGGGACATAGTTGTTTCAGAAAATGAAGAAATCATTTGGGTAGGAATTTCTTCCCACAAAGCTGGATTTGTCACCTTCTCCAACCAGCCTAAAATTACAAAACACCTGCCCTTGAGTCTATGAATATTTATTTTTTATGCACCGACATTTTCATGTCGCTGCTCCTGTCCGTCTAGATATACCTCCAGTAAAATTTATTTGTGGACTACTCTACAGGTCACAATTTTATCCGATTTTAATGTAATGTAAAATACATGTTTATATCCAAACCGTTCGAGATCGGATTGATTTAATACATATTGAACAGAAATCTTAAGCGAAAAATTGGTTTTAGCTTGTGGACCCATTTCGGGTTCAATTTTGGCATATAATGCACCGTTTCTTCCTGGAATATTACACCTGATTGTACGAAACATTGTTTTTATCTTGTTGACCCACTAGAATTCTCAATTTTATACGCCAACATTTCCAGTTTCAGAATTAACCCCTCTTTCCTAAAGACCTTTTAGATGTGATATAACCTACAGTTGTCTAACAAATATTTTCTTATTTGGCTTTCGATTTTGGAGTTATGCCCCTTAGCCCAACAATTTGTGTATTCGATAGAGGTCACACTGTTTAACATATCCTTTAGGTTCATGAGATCACAAACCCCATCGATATGCAGCGATTCGAAGATGACCTCATTTTACAAAAAGCACGTGAATATGATGAGGCGCGTGTAGCATTGGGGCCTTGAGAGGACAAATATATATTTCAGCTAACCATACTTAACCCACTTTTTCTGAAACCATGTGAACGTGATAAAGGCTACAACTTTTAACAGATTTGTTTCTAATTCTGTATGAAACCTTGGGACAATGAGTGGGTGAGCCGTATTGATATTCCCTGTTCTGTTTTGCATCACTTGTTAATTGTAACAATTGTATAGTAATATTTTGAAACGGTAATAAATAATCAATATCAAAGTGTTATTTTGTTTCACGTTTGCTACAAATGAGCACAACTGAGATAATTCAATGTACTGAGGGACATTTGGCCCAGATGTGGCTTATCTGAATTGCCCTCTTTGAAATGAAATGGGGATTGACGTCCTACTGTTCTGCTCCTAAACTGGGCTAATGAAGACGGTGCCCTCTTTGAATTACATAGGTTTTTTTTACGTGGACGACAATTTATGCATGTAACTTTGACTTTTCGGCCAAATCACTATCATAACTAGCGTCGTCCTTTGCTAGGCCCTACATCCACCACTGATCAGGCGAACGTTGCAGAAAATCCCGGGGGTCGGGGAAACATTCTTGACCGACACTGGGATCAAATACAGGCCTCACACTGTTGAAAACAAAAACCTTATAAGTCGTGTTTTGATATTAAATTTATTCATTTTAGCAAGCAAGTTTGGTACCATGTTACTTGGTAGAATTCACGTGGATACGGATTATAGAATTGCACGAATTTGCTGACTTTCAAGAATTCGTAGGTATTCCGATGTCGAACAAAAAGGTTTCATATTACGATATTATTTGGAGCAATGTTCGTCAAGAGTGTTTGTGTACCTACATGTGGGGGATCACGTGGCTAAGTGGGTAAGACGCTGGCTCGCTAGCCCGGAGGTCGGGTGTTCGATCCCTGTTTTGGCCGAGAAAGTTCATTCAGATTTTCCGGCGTGGTTTCCAGAATACACAAATAATGGACAATCTGAATAGTATAAAGAAAAACCTCAATGAGTGGAAGTTGAAAATTATCTTTGATGCGGAAATCAACACATCATCGAACTACGTCACCCTTTTTGCGTTGCAGGACTGCAGTCGGCATCTAACACTTTACTGAGAAAAGCTTGTTCCTGATCCTGACAAGCACAGCTGTCTAGTCGTTCGGGTGGGACGAAAAACCGAGCTCCCGTGTATACATTGACGTGCACGTGAAAGATTCCTTGGCAGATGAAATTCGATTTATGAGTAGGTCGTAGTACAATAGTTCAGGCAAACGTTTCCCATAGCACACTGTGGCGTATGGTCGTCTTCATTAGCTATGTCGGTGCAGAACAGTACGACGTTAAACCCCATTTCGTTTCATTTCAATTTTGTTACTGCTGATGGAAACCAATAGGGGTTCTACGGATGGATTGTTTATGGGGTGGTGCATTTTCAGTATTAATCCAGGGGATCACGTGGCTAAGTGGGTAAGACGCTGGCTCGCTAGCCTGGAGGTCGGGTGTTCGATCCCTGCATTGGCCGAGAAAGTTCATCCAGTTTTTCCGTCGTGGTTTCCCCTTGTGCAGGATGGGGGGGCCTGACAAGGAAAGCTGTCTAGTCCTTCGGATGAGACGAAACATCGAGGTCCTGTGTATACATTGGAATGCACGTAAAAGATCCCTTGGCAGTTGGAATTATATATAAGAGTAGGCGATAGTGCCGCTGCCGGGGCAAAATTTCCCTCATAGCACACTGTATGGTGTATGCCGGTCTTCGTTATCCCAGTATATGAGCATAACAGTAGGACGTTAAACCCCATTTCATTTCCATCCCCGTTCAAAAAAGACGTCGATATCAGGGATATCATATTCGCAGTGATTGAAACGCGTATAACTAAACATACGCCAAAAGACCCCCTTCAAACACTTTGCTTGTTGTGAATCCCCCCCCCCACCGCCTCTCAGACAGTTGACTGTAGGTTAAAGGAATTACTCCTTTGATCCTCCACACCCCCAGTAGAGTCGTAGTTGTTGTTTGCTTGGTAGCTTGGTAGTTAGTGTCCTTCCGAAACTCAATTACGTGACTAGCAGTGACATATTTGAGGTTCGGAGGGACACTTACATTATATTAACAAAAAAAACAACCTTCCAACAATACCAACTAAGTCCATTCCGCGGCCATGAATTCCCTTGTCATTGGTGTAAGGCGGGGGGCTGACAAGAAAATTGTCTAGTCGATCCGATGGGACCAAAAACCGAGGTCCCGTGTACACATTGGGGTGCATGTAAAAGAGTCCTTGGTAGTTGGAATGCCATCCCAATCGTGCAGAAAATTGGAACTTAAAACCCAATTCATTTCCATTCAGTGTGTAATAAAATTAATGCACACGCTATATAGTTCATTTTAATTGTGTTTACATATTATCTTCAAGAACCTTAGAAATCAGTGGAAGGTAAGAGAGATTATTAACTGTGTAATTTATTTTATTGATATATTAATGTAAATTTTATAGAACATATTAATGTAAATTTTATAGAACATGTAAATTTTATAGAACATATTAATGTTAATTTTAAGCGGATTAAATTTGTTCTTATATACAATAGTTTAATGGTATTTTTGCATATTTTAAGGCTGGCTGGGCATGTATATCATACATTATTGCCGGATGGGTACTAATACCCTGTAGATTTATGGATATGGGTGCATCTTCTTTGTCTTCTTGTTTATTAATCAGAGAACGTCCTTGACATTAATAACATTACCAATGGCAACATCCATGTTATGGCTAGACCAGCACCTGCGAATGGAAAGAAATGGAATATGTAATAATGGAACAACCTTAATATGTGATAATATTGCAGTTGCTAAGATTTATAAATGGATCGTTATCTTAGGTGCTTTGGGTACATCACTCACTATACCAGGAACACTCAAGAGTCAATTTTTAAGAGTACCACTGATTTGTAATGTCAATGTTACATTTAATCTATATGTATGTTCCTGAACGCTGATTAACCCGGAAGTTTATTATTTAGCAAGTAAAGTCAAGTCGATGCTGGCTACATGTATATCAAATTCCCAAAGCAAAGTTAAATCTATGCTGGCTATATCAGCTCTGTAAATTCAGTATCACATTCAGGTCGTATTTCTAAATATTGTTGTAATAATCACCAGAAGGAATGAAGGTAGAGATTGATCAATTCAGAAATTAACCAGGGTAGGGATTGGTCACGTCTGGAAGTAACGAGGGTACAAACTGATCAAGTCGCTCCTCCACCAAAAGTTTAAAAGTCACATCTAGCAACTTGCATAAGGATAATACACCCGTACAAAAACACCCATAGTTATGTTAACAGTGGCCAAGCATACTCTGCTTCGGATGTGATACCCATTGCTGTTAGTCATCCTTCGAGTTAAAAATCTAAGTGTTTTTTTTAAGTCTTGGGCTTTAGTTAGAACACCTGATACCATTGCTCATTTGGTGTAGGGGGGATTGGATGGCTGAATGGTTAGCACGTGCGTACTGTATCACATGGCCTGTCATTGAGTCAACTGGCGTGGTTTCGAATCCCCGGTTGTACGTGACAAGGAGTAGGGTCGTCTGTCCAGCTTCGTGGGTTTTCTCCGGGTCCTCCGGTTTCCTCCCACTGCTAAAGACCCCTACGCGCAAGCGAATTATTGAAATAAAATTAAACCATGTGTTAGTCCCGAAATGACCTAGTTTGTGTCGGGTGGACGTTAAACCCCATTTCTCTCTCTCTCTATCTCTCATTTGGATACCAACTGTGGATATGTGTTTGTAGTTTCAACACTGGTTACCGCCAACGAATTTTAATATATGAAATTATAATGGACCATAAAGGACCGTCGATAAATGTCAACACTAATTACACTTGCTTCCAATCGAATAACCCGAGGAACTGGGTGGGTGGGTTGGACGATACCGTGGTTATTTAAAATTGAATCATGAACGGGCATATGTCAACGGCGTGGATAGAAAGGCGAGTGGGGGATTGAGATTTATCCTCAGTATAACCGTTTTGCGACAGTCCCTAATAACAGCTAGATAACATACTAAAATCGCCTGCTTACCACTACACTTGGTATAATCTAACGTATTAACAAAACCTTTATAAGTTTCGTCAGCCTTGGTACAGCCGTTATCCCTCAAGCATTGAAAGTATGGTTCTTTCTTCCTAAAACAGAATCAAATTATCAAATACTTATTAATTTATTAAACGTCGAAAGCCGTGGGGTTCAATGATCCAAAATGAGAATGATTTCAAACATATTTATGGATAATTGAAATTTTGTCAAAGTGATGTAATACCGTAAAGAGACCCTGCATGTCTGGCCAAACCATCTTTTTCACCAGTGAGTATTCCGGTCCTTGTTTGCGATTTTATCTTGATCATTGGGTAAAAAAGAGTAGTCTGGTCAGGCATGCATGGGTTCATACAAACCTTATAATACTATATATATATATTCCTTATTTTTGTCCCCCGCCTTTTGCAGAAAGCAGGGGGCTATTAAAATGGGTTCGTCCGTGTGTCTGTCTGTCCGTCACACATTTTGGGGCACACTAACTCTCCTTCTAATTGAGCTAGAATGTTCAAACTTGGTGTAGGTGTTTATTAGGTCAATGCCTTGATGGAGTTCGAAGAGCATTTTCTGCTTAGGTTAAGCAGAGATAAGCAATTTGATCGGTTGATGCTCTGGGACACGATAACTTTAGTTTATCGCATCAATAACTTGACTAAGTTCCATAATGAGCATCATCTGCTCGGGGTAAGCAGGACTTTGGTACATAATAACTCTCCTTCTAATTGAGGTAGAATGTTCAAACTTGGTGTAGGCGTTCATTAGGTGAATGCCTTGATGGAGTTCGATGATAAACATTGTCTGATTACGGTAACCAGAGATAAGCAATCTGATTGGTTGATGATTTAGTTTTAATTAAAGGAGAGTGATGAAACTCCGAGAATAGATTCATTATATCATTACCTTGACTAAGTTCGATGATGAGATATTTCTGCTTAGGCTAAGGAGCGATAAGCAATTTGATTGGTCAAGACTTTAGAAAAACACTGCTTTTAATTGAAGCAGAATGTTTAAACCTGATGTAGATGTCCATTAGGGGAATGTCTTGGCTGAGTTCAATGATTAACATTTCGAGCTAAAGTTAAGCAGAGCTAAGCAATTTCATTGGTCGATGCTTTGAGACAAGATAACTTTGATTCTATCTGATAGAGAGTGATGAAACTTAGTGTGTAGTTTGATTGCTCGATCCTTTTGAAAAAAAAATAAATGTGCGATTAATTAATATGTGTCATCTATTTATTTTGGGATTTCGGCGGGGGACATCAGCCTCACTGTTGGCTTGTTTTAATTTAATTGAATTGGGGGTGTTTTATATGAGATACATGGCCTATATGTGAGTTTTGTAAAGCTTTTGTTTATCCATAATGTTAGTAAACTCTTTGTATGATATCCTTTAAATTTTGGATATGATGTGTATAATATGGATATTTATAATATATAAGATATCTTTACTTGTCCTTCACAACTTTCAATGTGTTGGATGGCCGAATGGTTAGCATGTGCGCGCTGTATCATAAGGCTTGTCATTAAATCAACTGGCGTGGTATCGAATCCCCGGATGTACGTGACAAGGAGTAGGGTCGCCTGTCCAACCTCGTGGGTTTTCTCTGGGTCATCCGGTTCCCTCCTACTGCTAAAGACCACTAGGCGCATACGAATTATTGAAATAAAATTAAACCATATGTTAGTCCCGAAATGACCTTGTTTGCGTCGAGTGGACGTTAAACTCTCACAACTTTCAATATTTTGGGTACTACCGGTTCTTGTAAGACTCAGATTTGGTGTAACACAGTTGGATCATTCGGAGCAGATATGTTTCGCTTCGTTTATGTAGACTTTCCATCGCATCAACTCCATACTGATATTTCCTGTTTGGGTGTAAGAGCACATAGGGGTGAACTTTGACAGAATGACCTTTTTTAATCCCATAAGTTCCATTTGTGACTCCCGGAATTATGTGTATAGCTCGACGAAACTGAACATTTAATTGGCTAACTCCACATATCAAACAGAATGTAGTTTATTTTAAAACTCTTCCCGGTCAAACTGTCGCATAGACATACAAAACGAGATATGAATACAGGCCAACAGTGGGATGATCCCGCCCACCGCAATACCAAAATAAACCGATGACACATGTTAATCAATTGCACTATCGAGCAATTTAACTGATTATCTAGACTTAGTCTGAGCATAAAATTCCACGGTCAAACTTAGGCAAAATTTTTAAGTACCTTGTACTGAAACTATACATTAAAGTAGCTAAGTCTCTAACGCAATATCATCCAAAATCTTCGACATTGAAACACACATTATTTGTCAATTTAATTGAACATTGATGATGTGATCTTACGGAGGAAAGATGCTTCTGATATCCAATATTTAAGACAAAATAAACAGTTTACCATTGTACCAGGGTGCATTTCAGCGCCATATGTAACACGGGACTCGTAGAACGAGGCTAGATAATTATTCCACAAAGCATGTCAAACGGTGACATCATATTCTTATTTGGAGAGCATGCGCAATAAATACTATCGGTATAGAATGGAATAACCAGACGCTAGAGATTGCCTTCGAGTGAGACTTCTGGCGTATTTCGCCGAACATAACTCATTATAAATTACAGTAAAAACAGAAACGATTGGATGTAAATCAATTTATATACATTCATATTACATTATTATATACGTTGCGACCCATTTGTGTCAATTTCTAGATCCAAAATATTAGCGATTGAGCCTCTTTAAGTTTCATCAATCTCCATCAGATAGAATAAAAGTAATCTTGTCCCAAAATATCAACCAATGGAATTGCGTAGCTCTGCTTATATCTTTATCGGAAAATGTTAATCTTTGCATGATAATCACTTAATGAACATCTACACCAAGTTTAAACACTCGCGCCCAGTTAGAACAAGACATTCACCTAATAGACATCTACCCCAAGTTTGAAATTTCTACCTCAATTAGCAGAATTATTGTGTTACAGAGTCTCGATCAATCAAATTGCTTATCGCTCTCCTTACCATTAGCAGAATAAGCTCATTATGGAACTTAGTCAAGGTACTATACATCAAGTTTCTTCACTCTCGATTAATTAGAACTAAAGTTAGCCCATGCAGAAAATTCTCATTTTCGAACTCCTACAGTTAGCTAATAAACACCTAGTTTGAATATTCTAGCTCAATTAGGAGAGTTATTGTGTTCCATACAGCCCTGAATCAAGACACACACTGGTCAGGATGATAATTAGATCCGTTCGACTTCTAGATTAATTGAAATATTCCAATAACACGGACCAATATTGAACGTAAGGATAGAATAAAATGGTAACTTTTTGGCGAGTCAAATAGATCGGATGTTGATACTAGAATTTAGATTTCACTGTGGTCAGGAAACCTTGACATTATTTCAAAACACTGAACTAATATAAGAATGTGGGGACCCATAACGATCTGATTCTCTCCTGACCATCAAATATGACCCGAAGAGAGTCAAAATAGGTTGTGAAACCTATCGAAATTCTTTCGTGTATAAGAGTTATAGCCCTTGTCACACAAATCGTGTATAAGATCTAGGAGTAGCACCAGCAACAAAAATTACTTAAAACAGCTTTAAAGTCAACATTTAAATATTCAAATCGTATGAGCAGGAAACTGGGGCAAACTGGGTCTAGAGTTAAATCACGACACCCGAGTCAAAATGGCCAGGAATCCAATTATTCAGGAATAATTACTTACGTGCATTCGGTATTCGCAGCAGCAGAAAAATTTGAAACGCATTTGATGGTTGACGCAGTAGCACACTCCGCCTCACCAGCATTGGTTTCTGAAAATGCTACAGCTGAAAAGTTTAGGAAAACGTGAAAGATACCACAAAAACCGTGCACAATATCTACACAGTGTCACCATATAAAGAAATATAGGTGCACAAAATGAAATGGGGTTAACCATTTATTTGTCTTCACCAATCGGACTAATGAAGACTGACATACGCTATTTAGTGCCCTATATATGTCGGAAAGTTTGTCTAGACAGTGGTGTTTGCTCCACTGCGATATACACCAGGCAAGGGTTGATTTAGAAATCATTTTGATTTCTGATGGGTTATTTCCTTAATTCCCCCGGGGTGTAGGGGTGATAAGAATATACCGTAATAGGGCAACGTCTTTGCCGTGCGTTGCAATCCGTGTCGGTGGAGAATGGAATCCTTGTAATTGAGTGGGTACTCGGCTTGCGGGCCCTGTCTCTGCAACACACTACTTTGACCCATGATTCACCTAGACGAGTGGTCAGAGCTCCACTCTGGTGAATATGCTTTGGTCGTTGTTGCTCTGTAGAATGTTGTTTCACATTTCCAATGCTTTGTTGTTTTTATACTCAGCAAGTTTACCTGTATTTCCTAAATACACTGGGGGGGGGGGGGGGTGGCCGAATGGTTAGCACGAGCGCGCTGTATCATAAGGCCTGTTATTGAGTCAACTGGCGTGGTTTCGAATCCCCGGTTGTACGTGACAAGGAGTAGGGTCGCCTGTCCAACCTCGTGGATTTTCTCCGGTTTCCTCCCGTTGCTAAAGACCCCTACGCGCAAGCGAATTATTGAAATAAAATTAAACCATGTTAGTCCCGAAATGACCTAGTTTGTGTCGAGTGGACGTTAAACCCTATTTCTCTCTCTCATCCTAAATACATTCTACAGAGCGACGGCTTTGGTCAATCAGGTTTGAATAGAATTTTTATTTTCTGATTTTAGTATACTCCTCGTCGATCTTTGGGGCCGCGCACTGGATATCCGTGCTACCCCCCCCCCCCTCCCGGTAGGCAGGATAGTATTTAACCTGGGGGTCGACGAGGAGTGAATTACAAATTACAAAAAAAATATTCATGGATTCCCCCCCCCCCCGCAATCAAAGAAGGGTCAGTAAACAGAAACGTCCTATTATTTTTTAATACAAAGAAAATGTCAAAGGCATAGCCGACGTTCCTCTTAATTGAGATTCCCTCTACAGACCTTTGAAAAGTTTCACCATTTTTAGTAACCAAGGGCCCAAAGCTATTAAAAAACACGAAAACGAACTCTCTTGATATAATGTGCTAAAAAAAAAAACAGTATGCCACCATGCGCCTAACATATAAAAGGAATTAGTCTACACCGAGGAGATGAGGTGATTGTTACAAGCACCTGCGAGTGTATATCCTCACTTTCAAATCGTCCCGATATTCCAAAGACTCTGAACGCTGGTTATCTTAACATCAGTAACCCTGTAGCGGTAGGGACTTGGCTGCCAAGTCTGCTTTAGATCTTCCCATATTTCGAATTTTAAACATCATATAAAGATTTTAAATCCATTAATAATAATTTCAGCCTCGATTCCCATTTTTTTTAAATCATCCGATGCTCTAGAGAGTTGATTACAGGTTTGTCATGCGGTTAAATGTCAAATTAATGATTTAAAAAACATTTAGCTCTTTCATAATGCATCTGTAAATGCAGATCCGTAATGAAATGGGGTTTAACGTCCTACTGTTCCGCTCCTAAACTGGGATAGTGGAGACGGACATACGGCATACAATGTGCTATGAGGGAAATTTTGCCCGGGCAGCGGCGCTACGACCTACTCTTATATCAAATTCCAACTGCCAAGGTATCTTTTACGTGCACGGCAATGTGTACACGGGACCTCAGTTTTTCGTCCCATCCGAACGACTAGACATCTGACCTAGTCAGGGCCTCCGTCCAGCATCACTGACAAGGGGAAACCACGCCGGAAAATCTGGATGAACTTTCTCGGCCAATGTAGGGATCGAACACCCGACCTCCGGGTTAGCGAGACAGTGTCGTACCCATTTACCCACCGTGATCCCCAAAATGCAGATCCATTTCGCAACGTATAGCAAAGATATCTGTAGTATATTGGGTCCAAAATGCACAGAGTGTTATGGGTGGCCGAAAGGATTAATGCCTAGGCTTTATGGCAAAAAGTCTGTCATTGAGTGAAGTGGCGTAGTTTAGAATCCCCGCTTATACAGACCTGTCCAACACCGAGGGCTTTCTCTGAGTTCTCCAATTTCCCCCCATTGTTAAAAACCCTACGCGCAATCGAATTACTGAAAACAAATTGAACTATGTGTTAGTCCTGAAATGACCTAGTGTGCGTCGAGTGCATAAATTTTAAATTGAAAATAAATCTATTAAATATTAACCTTAATTTTAAAAAATAACTCACCGAGAAAAACAACTAGAAAAGCAACAGCCTTCTTATTTGACAAATTACCGTGTATCTTAGAGTACCTAACAACTGTCACTGAATGATCAAATCAATTCTATTTATATGCGTTTTTGGTAGTTTATCTGTATCACGTGATGATTTACATATGCGCAATAATTATCCCAAATAAGTATATGGCTGTATAATATCGGAATATTTTGCTCAATAACCTTTGACATTAAAACCTTACCTACTCATATTTACTTTGTCCCTTAAAAAACATTGATAATATGGACGTATTATCCCGTCGCCATTGTCTCTGTGTGTGTGTGTGAGTGAATTTTCACAATGCTAGCTTTCGCCAACAGACACTAATGAAAAAATAATTTAGGTCCTTGTATGGCGTTGAATGTGTAAAAGTGAAATATAATGATTATATGTTTTATGGAATTTGAACAGAAACCGAATCCAGATTAACACCCAGTGTGGGATATTTCTTTTATATATTGTGAAAGTGTTGGCAATAAATAAAATTGACATTATCATTGCGTTATTGAACATAGCATCGTCATATTCTGTTGTTGTCACGGGTTACTTCTGCTAAACAACGCAATAGAAACGAGTAACGTATTATAAAAGAAAATTTAGGTTGAATTTGATATATTGATGAATTACTCAAAAGACAAATTTTCTTTTATAATACCTTTTGGGTTTTATTGAAGTGTTTAGCAGAAGTAACCCGTGACAACAACATGTTGAGACGACTACATAACAGAATAGGACGATGCAATGTTTGAGAAGTGTGCTCTAGTCCATGGGTGCACTAGTCGCCGCTATAAAAAATACTATAAATATGGGTGAAAATGAAATGAAATGAAATGGGGTTTAACGTCCTACTGTTCTGCTCCTAAACTGGGCTAATGAAGACGGGCATACGCCATACAGTCTGTTATTAGGGAAATTTTGCCCGGGCAGCGGCGCTACGGTCTACTTTTATATCGAATTCCAATTGCCATGGGATCTTTTACGTGCACGCCAATATGTACACGGGACCTCGGTTTTTTGTCCCATCCGAACGACTAGCCACTTAGCCACGTGATCCCCTATAAATATGGGTATAAAAGAAACAGCAGATATGGTGGCTGATTGGTATCATATCGTGGTATCGCTCATCATAAGGCAAGAACCCGACATTACGACATTTTAATTCGGCGACACCACATTTTCACTCGGAACCACGACATTGAAAATGTCGTAATGTCTCGTAAAAATGTTGTATAATCGGGTTAAAATGTCTTCCTCTCAATATACAGTATGATTATGTACAGTGTTCCTGGTGTTGGTCAAGAAAGTTCCCCGGGGTTTTGCCGGGTGGTTTCTCCCTGTCGTTAGTGTAGGACGAAGGTCCTGGCAAAGAACAGTATCTAGTTGTGTAGATGGGACAAAAAAAAACAAAGCTCCTGTGTACAAATTGGCGTGCACTCAAATAAACCCTTGACGGTTGTAATTCGGTGGAGAAATGCCACTGTCCCAAGAAAATTTCCACCGTAGCACTCTGCATAGCGTATGCCTATATTAATATTCAGGGCAGCGCAGAAATTGGCGGAAAGTGTCAAATCATTTCTTCGAACGAAAAGTGTGGAAATTGTAACAATTTTGCGCAGTTGATCGCTCTCTAGTGGAACAAGTCCCGTCAATTCTTGGAAAAAGTGGTTAATTGGTTCTTATCGTAAATGAAATGAAATGAGGTTTAACGTCCTACTGTTCTGCTCCTATACTGGGCTAATGAAGACGGGCATGCATACGCCATACAGTGTGCTATGAGGGAAATTTTGCCCGGGCAGCGACACTATCGCCTACTCTTATATCGAATTCCAACTGCCAAGGGATCTTTTACGTGCATTCCAATGTATACACGGGACCTCGGTTTTTCGTCCCATCCGAAGGACTAGACAGCTGTCCTTGTCAGGCCCTCCGTCCTGCATCACTGACAAGGGGGGACCACGCCGGAAAATCTCGATGAACTTTCTCGGCCAATGCAGGGATCGAACACCCGACCTCCAGGCTAGCGACCTAGCGTCTTACCCACTTAACAAACAGAGGTGAGTTTATGGACAAATATAAGTGACTATGTAGATAAAAATACATAAACTGTTTTATAGTCAAGAAAATGTAACGGTAAATGTTAGACAGGTCGTTCAACACTGAAAAAATATCAACACGTATGAAACTTGTGTAAATATTGCCGCCATCTTGGATTTACGCCATTTTGGATTATCAAATCTTCCATGTAACATCACCAATGAACTCAGCGACCCTGAAAACCCTATTATAGAGTCGATATGAGGTTTATACAGGGAAAAATAATGAAGATTTTTAATGAAATCTAAATTTATCACCCTCAGTTTAACCCCCCCCCCCCCTAACCTCAGTAGGGGGGGGGGGTGTACAGGGGAGTTAGGGGGGGGGGGGAGAAAAAAATTAAAACAAATGATCATACATGGGTAGGGTAAACACCTGTCCGATCTTCATTAATATATATAGTATATCCTAACATTGTGTCTTGAAGGGGAGCCTTTGCAATAAACGATTTATGAGATTGGTCGATGAAAATAGCACAATCATTAAGGGCAGATAACTTGGAAACGTGTCTCTCCCTCACCCCCCCCCCCTCACCCAAGATTATATATATGGCTAACGTTTTCAGTTCTCTTAAACCTCTTCAGGCCATATTCATACATAAACAAGCGTTTATTTTATTTTTCAACGTAATTTTATATTTTTCTGGGAGTAGTTGAAAGAAACTTTTTTTTGTATACATATATATATATACATAAATAAATAAAAATATACGTCCAGGTAAATTTCTCCACTTTACTTCATTCTGACATACATTAAATCATTATACTTTATCTACTTTAATATATATATATATTCAAGAACCTTAGAAATCATTGAAAATTAGGAGAGATTACTAACTGTGTATTTTATTTTATTGGACCTATTAATGTTACTTTTAAGGGGATTAAATTTGTTTTTATATATAATATTTTAATGGTATTTTTACATATTTTAAGGTTGGGCATGTATATCATACGCTAATGTTGGGTGGGCACTAATACCCTGTGGATTTATGGATATGGGAGCGTCTTCTTCTTCTTCTTGTTTATTAATCAGAGAACGTCTTTGACATTACTAGCATTACTAATGGCAACATCCATGTTATGGCTAGAGCAACACCTGCGAATTGAAAGAAACGGAATATGTAATAATGGAACAACCTTAACATGTGATAATATAGCAGTTGCTAAGATTTATAAATGGGTCGTTATCTTTGGTGCTTTGGGTACATCACTCAGTATACCAGGAACACCCAAAACTCAATTCTTAACAGCATCACTGCTTTTTAATGTCAGTTTTACATTTAGTCTATGTTCCTTAACGATGACTATAAGACGCAGGAGTGGAACCTTTCGTAAATTGCAATTGTTTATCATTGAACAAGCAAAGTCAATATGCTAGCTATATGTATATCAACTTCCCAAACAAAGTTAAATCTATGCTGTCAATATCGGCGTTCCAAGCAAAGTTAAATCTATGCTGGCTATATCAGCTCTGTAAATTCAGTATCACATTCAGGTCGTATTTCTAAATATTGTTGTAATAATCACCAGAAATCACGAGGGAAGAGATTGATCATTTCAAGAAGTAACAAGGATAAAGATTGACCCATTCAGGACGTAACGAGGGTACAGATTAGTAACGTCTGGAAATAGCAAGGGTACAGATTGGTCAAGTCAGTAAATTCTAACTTGATTGCTTCGCTTCTCTACCTAACGTTTAGATCTAGTAACTTGAATAAGGATAATTATATGTGAACGGCGCGGATAGACAAGGGAGGGGGGGGGGTATATTCTGTATAGCTGTATAACAGCTAGATAACATACTAAAACCTGCTTACCACTATTACATTTGCTATAACCATGAGTAGTAACTAAACCATCATAAAGGCTGTCACCTGTGGAACAGTCGTTATCTCTCTAACATTTAAATATAATGAACCATAAAGGACCGTCGCAAAATTTCAACACTAAGACGTGCTTCCAATCGGATAACTCGAGGAACTGGATGGGTGGGTTGAATCATGAACGGAAATACGTCAACGGCACGGATAGACAGGTGAGTGGGGGGTATAACCGTTTTGCAACAGTCCCTTACAGCTAGGTAACATACTAAAACCGCTTGCTTACCACTGTTACACTTGCTATAATTTAACACAGTAACTTGACCTTCATAAGCGGCGTCATCTGTTGAACAGCCGTTATCTGTCAAACATTTAAAGTAAGGTTCTTTCTTCCTGAAATAGAATCAAATTATCAAACATTAATCTAACGTGAAAAGCAGTGGGTTTCAATGATCCACAATGTTTCTCACCGTGGTATTATTATATCTACTGAACGAGAATCGGTTTCAGACAAGTTATTTGCACCTGAGTTAGAAATCGGAATCAGTTATTTGATAATCTCGCTTACGAACATGGACGTAACAGACTTTAGACATATACTTAGTCATAGATAGATGTTTTTTTTGAAAGGCGCATGTGGGTATTGCGTCCTTTAGAAAAATTTTCAAATTAATAATTTTGTGAACTCGTTTTATGAAATCATTCAAATTCAGCATATGATGTGTAGAATATGCATATTTATGATATATATTTACTTGTCGGTCACAACTTTCAATATTTAGGGCACTACTGGTTCTTGTATGTTATTAGTAAAACTCAGTTTAAGTGTAGTACAGTTGGGTCATTTAGAACAGAACGGTTCTTAAAGCAATCTGATGAATTTTGTTTCGTTTCTGTAAACTTTCCATCACCGCAACTCCATAGTGATATGTGGGAGATTACGCCAGAGAACGTGCAGGTGGACCATGACAGATGAACGGCAAAGACTTTTTGTAATAATTTCATTTTCTTTTCTTTCCACAAACCCCCTTTGTGACTCCCGGAATTCCGTGGACAGCATGAACGACGCTAGACCAAATAGGTCATTTAATAGACTAATTCCACACATCAAACAGAGCGTAGGTTATTTAAAACTGTTCCGGATCAGTTAAATTAGAAACAAAGCCGAAGCGAAATGGGATCTGTGATTTAATTTTTTTAAAAAGAACATTTGGTACATGTCGGAAAACACGGGTGATGCTTAGTGTGCTGAATCGAGACACGCTGATCAGACTGGTTTAGATCCCTTCGATGTGACAGATTTAATATCAGTGCGGTCAATATTAAAAGTAAGGGTAATATAAAATGGATACCTTTTGGGTGAGTGTGTCAAACTAATTGAATGTTGATACTAGAATTTAGTTTTCACTTTCGCCAGGAGACCTTGACATTATTTCAAAACAGTGGACTATTAACGTGGTGGTCAATCACGTATTTTGCAAGGAATAATTCTCAATAACCGCGTTACCCATATCGCTCAGATTCTCTCCTGACCCTATCGAAGAGTTGTTGTCTTTGTCACACAAATCGTGTATAAGATATACGATTAGCACCAGCAACAGGAATTGAAGAATAACTTAAAACAGCTTTCAAAATGTAAATACGAACACCGTATGAGAATGATACTGGGCCAAAGATGATACAGAATTAGACCACAACACCCGGATACATACTCCCAGAAATCCATATAATTATTCAGGGACAACTACTTACGCGCAATCGGAATTCGTGGTAACAGCAGCCAACTTTGATGCGCATGTAGTTGTTGCAGCAAGACACTCAATATTACCAGCATTGGTTTCTGTAAGTGCTACAGCTGAAAAGTGAAGACAAACGTGAAAGATAACCTAAAGGCTTGTATAATATCTGCATAGTGTCACCATATAAGGACATAAAGATACAAAAATGAAATGGGGATTAAAACTTTCTGTACAAACCAAACTAATGAAGGCGTGCATCCACCATCTAGTGTACTACGGTGGAAAGTTTGCCCAGACAGCGATATACTTCCGCCTAGTCATCATCGAATTCCAACTGTCAGATGAAAATAAATTGTTGAATTGATTTGATGGGTTATTTTCTTAAAGATGCGTTATGTAAGATTTAGATACCGAGCTGGATGTTATAGAGGGGTTGGATGGCTGAATGGTTAACGTGCGCGCGCTGTATCATAAAGTCTGTCATTGAGTCGACTGGCGTGGTTTCGAATCCCCGGTTGTACGTGACAAGGAGTAGGGTCGTCTGTCCAACCTCGTGGGTTTTCTCCGGGTCCTCCGGTTTCCTCCCACTGCTAAAGACCTCTACGCGCAAGCGAATTATTGAAATAAAATTAAACCATATGTTAGTCCCGAAATGACCTAGTTTGTGTCGAGTGGACGTTAAACCCCATTTTTTTCTCTCTCTCTTACTATAATAGTTTAAACATAGTTAATTCAAAATAAATATATTTAAGATTTCATTCAAATTATTTGATTCTGAGCGATGTTATCACTGTTTGAAGTTTTGACAAGATCTGGCATTGATTCTTTATTATCGTAACAACGGTACTTGTTATTCGAGATTATGATCACTTCTACATTTTTCAATTAAATCATTAAATGGCCGAAATGTTCTAATCTACTTAAAATCGGAGCCACCCGATGTCATAGAGAGTTGATTATGGGCATGGCATACTAATAAATGTTTAAATATTAGTTTATATAACATTTGAAGCTAAATTAAAGACCTGTGTAATGCATCTTTAAGTAATGGGTAAAATGTATATGCGAATAATCTTTATACGCCCATTTTTTCATGTGGATTATCCCAACATTAGCTAGTAGCAACTGCCCCCCAACCTACTGCGTCAATGTTGTGGACTTACGTTATGTAAGATTTATAAAAACGCTGACCGTTCTTCCTATAATATCTACGAAATAGATAATGAAAAAAATATATTGATACAATTTATTCTGATCAAATTTATCACTGTTTGAGGTTTTGACAAAATGTGGCATAGATTGTTTGTTATCGTAGCAACGGTACTCGTTAATCGAAACTCAACCTCGATTTCCAATTTTAAATTAAATCATTAAATGGCGACCGTGCTTCAATCCGTTTAAATCTCCGGCATCCGATGGTCTAGAGAGTTCATTACAGGGTTGTCATGTGAATATATGAGTAATTAATGAGTTATATAACATTTGAAGTTAAAACAAAAGACCTGAAATAAGCAGATTTAGCTCTTACATAATGCATCTGTAAATACAGATACCCATTTCACAACAGAAATCAAATTTAATTAAATTAACACAATAATTGTTCATTTTCTTGTAACGTAAATCATAGACGTCTCTAGTATATTGGGTCGAAAATGCACAGAGTGGGTTGGGTGACCGAATGGTTTAATACGAGCGCTATATGGCAAAAAAAGTCTTGTCATTGGGTCAAGTAGAGTAGTTTCTAATCCCCGCTTATACGGGCCTATCCTACCCCCAGGGCTTTCCCCGAGTTCCCCCACTGCTAAAAGCCAATCGAATTACTGAAAACAAATTGAACTATGTGTTAGTCCCGAAATGAGCTAATGTGTATTGCGTGCACGTTAAAATCCATACATTTTAAACTGAATATATATCTATTAATATAAAACCTAATTTTAAAACAATAACTTACCAAGAAAGACAACCAGAAAAGCAACAGCCTTCATCCTGATATTTTTATCAAATGCAGTTTATTTCAATTTCTTATTTGACAAATTACCATCTCTGAATGATCAAATCAATTCTATTTATATGTGATTTTTTGTAGTTCATCCGTATCATGTGATACGTTACCTATGTGCAATAATGATTTCAAATATGTACATAGCTGTATAATGTCGGATTATATTGTGAAATAACCCTTGACATTACACACCCATATTTACTTTGTCTTGTACAAACAAATTCCTTTTGAAAAGACTTACTACGTGAAATTTCCCAACTCCTGGTTGTACCTGGATTATAAGGAAGTTATCAAGTTGGTTCTCTTCAGAAAAAATGGCGCGTTTCGCAATAACAGGGCGTATCATTTAGTGGGGAAATATCACTGCTCGTGGATCTTGTTATATAAAGGCGTTTAATGGAGATTATACCGAGCTTTTGAGAGACAATTGAAACATGTGGTTACCATGCAAGATACGCCCACATTTTGCAAGAGATGGACAGAAAACAAGCTAAAAAAAGCGATTTTTCGTACAATCATAATCTTGGAAGTTCCGGTCTGATATGCACGAATAGCGAAAGTAACCGAAATCTTTGGGACATAAACATATTGTGACCGGTATTACATACTTTTACACTATTTGCGTACATGAAAGGGCATTTTGTTGGGCAATTTCGGTCTGATTTTCACTAAATTCGAACCCAACATCATTAGCTTGTAAAACTGATATATTTGTACGTTTTAGAAAATCGGATAAAAGTTGCGACCTCTAGAGTGTCCACAACCTTGGTATTAGATACTTTTACACTGATTTTCCCTAAATTCGAACTCATTAGGTTGTAACACTGATATATTTAAACGTTTTGTAAATCGGATAAAAGCTAAACAGTGGATATTTTGTACAATCAGGGGCCATAATCCAGGAAGATGCTATCCGATATGCGTGAATATCAAAAGGAACCGAGATCTTTGGGATATAAACATATATTTTATGTTTCTTCAAAATCGGACAAACATTGTGACCTCTAGCGGGTCCGCAGCTTTGGTATTAACATACGTTTACACTATTTGCTTTCAAGAAGCGGCTATTTTTTGTCGCGCGGTTTCGGTCCGAATTCGAACTCAATCAATCATCATCAGGGTGTAACGGTGATATATTTAGACGATTTTGAAAATTGGATAAAAATTGTGACCTATAGAAGGTACACAAGCTAAATTCGCGATTCTGTCGCACTATCAGGTGCCATAATCCAGGAACTTACGGTCCGATGTGTGCGAATATCGAAAGGGACCGAGATCTTTGGGACATAAACACATAACATTGGATAATAATTGTGACCTCTAGGGGGTTCCAAAAGCTTGATATACCATATGTTTACACTATTTGCGTACGAGGGGCGGCCATTTTGTCCAGCAGTGTTGGTCCATTTTTCACGAAATTCAAACTCAAGCAACATTATGGTGTAACGGTGAAATATTCACGGTTTTCAAATCGAGTAATAATTGTGACCTCTAGAGAGACCACAAGCTAAAAACGTGATTTTTCGTACAACCAGGGACCATAATCCAGAAAGTTACGTTCAGATATGCGCCATTATCGAAAGAAACTAAGATCTTTGGGTTATAAACATACATTTCAAGTTTCATTTAAATCGGGTTAAAACGTGATTTTTCGTACAATCAGGGGCCATAATCCATAATCCGATACATGCCAATGTCGAAAGGAACCGAAATTGGTTGGTGATAAACCTATATTTCGAGTTTCGTCAAATTCGGATAGAAATTGTGATCTGTAGATTGTCCACAAACAAATTGTGGATGGACGAACGTCCGAATGGACGCACGGACAGGGTCGACGGCAATGTACGTCCACACGAAAATCTGGGCGTATAAAAAGCTCTTGTAAGGTAAACTGAATGTTTTGTTTCAGTTTTAGGAAGTTTCTCCTAAACATGACCACATTTGTAACTGCAACAAGGGTATCGGTGGGCGGAAGCGTATATTTTTAACGAAATAAATTGGGGACATAAATTTCAAAGAACACTAACCATTTATCCACCCCGCACACATAAGCTTTACTTCCATGGACAGTCTAGGTAACACCACAAAACTAAACGCATATTTCAAGATATTATGAATAACCTGCCCTAAAACAAACATATCCCTATCTAGGCTGTAATAATATTTTTATAGCAAAACTTTCTATAGGACGTAATGATATATTTTCGTTTGAAGACGCATATTCTTGAAAGGGTGTCTTTATGAATATCGGATGGGGCTCATAAATAGGCCGATGTATTTCGTTATAAATATCCCCTCCTAAGCCGAAACGATATTGAATTAGGCGATTTCGATCTATGCCCCCCCCCCCCACCAAACACCCCTCAAGAAATCCAATATATTAAGTGAAAAAGTGGTGTGTAATTTTATAGATATATTGAGCAAGCAATAGCATGTATAAAGGGCAACAAACATTGTGGCGCAACAATCGATTGATTTTTAATATCATATTACCCCACATTCCTAAAGTTAAATATCACTTATCGACAGAGTCCTTTGAGGTCTACAATATTCTTTTCATTATCTTTGTACACTACGTTTTGTACATATATATTTCAATAGTGCATAAACTCAGCTCAACAAAGAGAGAGAGAAAGAAATGGGGTTTAACGTCCACTCGACACAAACTAGGTCATTTCGGGACTAACATATGTTTTTTTTATTAATTTTTTTGTTTACATAATTCGCTTGCGCGTAGGGGTCTTTAGCAGTGGGAGGAAACCGGAGGACCCGGAGAAAACCCACGAGGTTGGACAGGCGACCCTACTCCTTGCCACGTACAACCGGGGATTCGAAACCACGCCAGTCGACTCAATGGCAGACTGTATGATACAGCGCGCGCACGCTAACCATTCAGCCATCCAACCCCCCTTCAGCTCAACAAAGGGAAGGTATGTATCAATTGATTTCTTGACGTCACTGGAGATTATTATGATAAGGTTCTTTATAAACAAAAATTATCCACTTTCGTGCGAATTATTTTTGCAATCAGATGTCCTTTGCTTTGTAGATATAAGTTATTGCGGGGTATATTATAACACCAAAGAATATACTTTCAGCACTTTAATCTGACCACATATTTAAATTTACACATAATATATAGTATTCAATCTCATATTCTGTTACAAACTTTAACCTCTTCAATTTGGATGAATTAACGGTGATCCAGTAAGATGGGTTACAATCGTTCTTTAAAATTAACAGATAACTGAAAAATAAGCTAAATTTCACTCAAGGGTATATAGAGAATCTCCTACGAGTCTTTTTTGATATCGAAAAATATCAACACAAGTTGATACTTTATATCCAACCTCGTGGGTTATTGAAATAAAATTACCATATGTTAGTTCCGAAATGACCTAGTTTGTGTCGAGTGGACGTTAAACCCCATCCCTCTCTCTCTCTCTCCCTGTCTCTCTCTCGTTAGAATGTATCTTTAATTTATAAAGGGGCTGACTTGTCTATACTGAGCTTGAAGGTATTATGTTACATATGTTATAGTGTGTCTTTCTATATATTTTATTACTATTTAATTCTAGTCAAAATAGCAATTGACCAATGTCCGAATTGATATCTCTTTAATGTTTCTGGTCTTTTAACTGTTTGGGTTTATACTTAATGCAACCATACAATATTACGTAATTATAGTTAACACGCGTTCTTGCTATGTCCATATCTTCTGCATGATGTATTTAAACATCTATTTTCTTCTATGTACAATTTAACATTTCTTGTCAAATATTATTATATAATTATTTTAATCCTAAGCTTGTATATATGTTCCATATTCTACGGCTCGTCCTAGCGATACCTATCTTGTTATTGTGACCGTTAGCCAGTTTTTGGACACTCGTGTATTTAAAGTACAATTTTAACTATTTATCTGAATTTTCGTCGTTAGTGTTGGAATAAGCTACAAACCCCAGAAACTGCACTTCGGCACATATTTCAAGATTTCGGATTACGTCCAACAGTATAGAAATATATTAACTGACAAAGGAGCACAAATGATACACATAAAAAACGCTTTCTAGTGTAGTGTTACCTAAAGGCAAAACAGGGGATAAAGCAAACTGATAAATAAATTCTTGCTGATATTAAAATAGATCCGATATCAAAATGTAATTAACTATGTAACTTAAGCTCTTTCACGTTTGGATTTATTCAGGGGTCGAAGGGGAATTTGGTATAAAAGCCAAGGGACGGTGTATACATCAGTAGAACACTCGAATGATCCATGACAGAACTTCTGATCCAACGCATACGCGTTAACCATTCGGCCATCCAACACCCCACAGGCAAAATCACCTTTTTCGCATTGTACAGGCGTAATGGAGGAACCGAAATAGGGTTTAACATCCCACATTTCCGCCCCAACCAGAAATGATAACAACTCTTCCAGGTCCTAGTGTAGGAATAGCCAATGAAACGTTCTATTACGGCGAACTTTAGGCGTAATTTGCACGGAACTGGGGATAATCCACTAGTAACATCAATGCTGATTGGTTAATCAAATGTCTGATGTCAAAGGGCCAAAAGCCGCTCGTATGACCTCTGACGCGACCTATAGCTACAACCTGTCAGATCTTCATGTAGTGTAGGCTATCGATAGTATATAAAAAAAGAAACGAAATACAGATCTGTATTTTAATCAGATTGAGATTTAACTGACAAAATAACGCAGGTCTGGCATTGAATCAAGAGGCGTGGTTTCGATTCCCCACTGGTTGCCTGTCCAACTTCGTGGGTTTTCTCCAGCACCTCCGGTTTCCTCCCACAGCTAAAGACCCATATGAGCAAGCGAAATACATTTGAACCATATGCTAGTCTTGAAATGACCCCATTTATCTCTCTCTCTCTCTCTCGTAATGCATACTGACCATTTTTAACACCAATATAAAATGCAACTGAAACTTGTCTGCGATATCACCCTCGATGGAAGCGGATGTTAAACACTAACAGAAGAAAAAGAAGCAACTGAAAGCCCGCAGATTCGATCGTTGACAGAAGAAGTAGCAACTTCGGTGTTTGATTTTTTTGTGCAATATTTATTAATTTTG